TTATTAGAAATTCTAATAATAAAGAAATGTTTGGTAAAAATATTAATCCATGAAGCTCTTATCAAAAGTTTAATGAATCTCTGCAATGTCTTGTGCCAGGTTATACATCATTAACTTTATGCGCATTTATTGGATTGGTAATATAATACTTTAACATTCAGTTTCAATTGATTCCTCAAGGTAACATATTGTTTCTAGTATAACTAATGAACATAAATAAGGTGGTATGGTACTGGTGCGTATGAACATAAGTCTGCAAAAATTGGTAATGGATTATTAACATTTCATTGCTAATTGAAAATAGTCAATTCAACTAACAAAAATTCCATTTTATAACATGTAAATTTCTAACTTGTTATTCATATTGCAAATTCATAATTACTTATATTGGTCTTATAATCAAAATGAATAAATAGTTAAAAATTTTGAAAACACTTCTGAAAGGATGAAACGTTGCAAACATCTTATGCAACGAGATTTTATTAAGAAGGAAATCGGCATCCTCTTTTAGTCATTGGGACATTGTCGATCATGCGGCACAAACGTATCCATTACAGTAATTTTTAAATTGAAACGAAACTGCTTTCCGGAATTGTTCATCATTCTACATTTCGATGGGTTTCTCATATCTCGAATACATCTCTTGGAATTTCGCAAGATGTGTTGAAGTATAAAACTCAAAATAATCTTTGAAGTCGTTTTCCACAACACGTTTCACAAATGACATATTTTAACTGCCTAACACTCTACAAACACCAGCCAAACGAATTCAGTAGTCGGCGAACGCCGCGTAAAAGTATAACGCTAAACTGGTTACGACTGACTAATCGAGGGAGCCATAAGGAACACTTAAGGGGAGCAGGCTGCCTCGCTTATAGGAATGAGTGCTCCTTAAGACTTCACTCAAGGGCTGTTTATGAATCCGATCGTCCACTTAAGGGAACACTCAGTATAAGACACGACTATGAATTCGGTCCTTAGCGCTTAGCGTCTAAAATCCTGCCACGGATATCGAATCCTGGGTCCTCGCGGTCAGAGGCATTGCAACTGGCACCGCGATTGTGTTACGTTATGGATTATAATGTAGTTAAAAAACCAACGATTTCATTGTATTTCAAAGTATTTCCGTTTGAACGCAACTCAGAAGAATCAGTGCAATGTATCGAATTTCACACTTAACCGCAACTTATCTCATGATAACGTGACCACAGAGTGGCATTCTTGAGGTACTCTTTCCTCACGGCAGCTTCTCTCAAGCACTATAAATGCTCCCGCACCAGAGTTGCTAAGTACACTGTCTCTCAAGCCATCGCCATGCTTAAACTCATCGGATTCTTCTGTCTGTTGGCAGCCGTTCTCGGTACGTATAGGCCTAGGCCGTATAGGATTTGATTCAACGGGGAAAAAATTGTATTGTGTAGAGGGAGACTGAAGCGTATGAAACTCGTGTGATTCAAGACTTTTTTAAAAATATTTCAATATTTTTCATTTTAAGGTCATATCAACTTCTAGGTTATTAACGACCACTATTGCGTGTAACGGTATGGTAACTGTGAGGATCACACGATATGATAATAATAGGGGTACGAAAGGACGAACACAATACAACCTTGCCCGAGGCGAGACTCGAACTTCGGTCCGATATCGCAACGGCACTCCTGTCGTAGCGATCTCGGTCATCCGGACCGACGTATTTCAACCTTATTATGTCCGTAACATTCATATTTATAAAAGAGAGGTAACATTCTTTTATGTTACTATATAATAGTTTATTGAATGCAAATTGTTTACATGAGATTTTCGTAAGTAACTCGTACAAAAATATCATATTTTACTTTTATTAAAAGGTCGACCACAAAAAGAACGTTTATCACACTGAAATGTTTCCTCTTCTAGGCCTTGTCAAGTGCATAATTTCGATATTGTAATTATTTGGGGGAAATGTGACATTTTTTGGTATTATTTATTTCAAAGACATAACAAATTCAGAAATATCGTAGGGCATTCATAAACAGCATAACTGCCAGATCGCCCAAAATGAGTTATTTTGAATCGTGAGGTGAGAAAAATTTCATTTGCATTCTGGAATTGCCCCAACTTAATGCTTGAGCGTCAGTCAACCTGGCTTACAAGTACAGAAGGTTTTCCAACATATTCCAGGGTTTACATCATAGGAAGTTAGATGAAACTGAAGAACTTTCCGTTTTTTTCACTTCCCATTTTTAATAGTAACATGTATGTCCTCACGAAATTTGTGTAGTGGTTCATTTAGAATGAAGTATTTAATTTATTCATTTTGTTCATGAGTGATTTAAAGTGAACTTATCGATTCAGTTATCCAAGATGTGTACTAAAATTATTATACTTCTAAAATAAGACTTTCTTTAAAATAACTAGGCACTCAATCCGAAAAAATAATTAATTTAATAATTCTACTCTTAAAAGACGTTCACGCAACTTGCAGAACAGCACAAGTTTCATAATCACGCCCTGGTCTTATAATAATTTATATATCACGCCCTTAAATTTTTTGCTCACATATCATTCCCTGGATCAATCCAATTAATATTATTATTCTATAACATCTTCAACAACACATTTCAAGAAATAAAATTAATTTTAACTCAATTTCCCAATTATTGTGCGGTCCAAAGAATCTTAGGAGGCACGCCCCCAACAAATCTTTAAGCACGAACAACCAGCCAAATCATTGAATACTTATGAAATAAACATTTCTAAATATTTTTTTCACGAATTTTCCACAATTTTTAATTAAATAATTACAAACTATTATTACTACTAATTTTTCCTTTTTTTGCTTACAAAAAAGGAAAAATTATCTGTAATAAATTCTAAATATATATCAACAGCCATGTTTAATAAACACGCCCTTAAATTGTCTAGTTGCCTCGTTAATCATGATGTTTAGTGAACGCCATGTCTTTCTTGCAGTGCTGGCCCCTTCGAGCGAGGCTCGGGCGGTCTCCGGGCTGGAGGAGCGGGACAACGTGGCTCCCTGGAGCCAGGAGGCCGCTGGCTCGGAGGAGGACCCGGACGCTGAGGACGATTCCGACACCGAGGTGGCCCCCAAACCACACCCTTACGAGCAAGCGATTTTTTACCGAAGCGTCGCTGCACACAAGCGGATTGTCGGCGGGGGCAATCCCACAACCACTGAACAACACCTTACCAGGTACCGTCCTTTGGCTGTGTTGTCTGGCTGTCCGGGTGACTCCGCGTCGAAGGCTGAGTTGCCGACGTTTCAACCATCCTGTCGTGGTCTTTCTCAGGGCTGGTATGCTCGCAGGGCCGCATACCAGCCCTGAAGAGAACGACAGGATGGTCGAAACGTCGCAACTCAGCCTTCGACGCGGCGTCACCCGGACAGTCCAGATCACCCACATGACTCTGGCCGCGGAAGCTTACGACTTCGTTCCTTTGGCTGTTCTAAATTAGTGATGCGACATCGATAACAAACACTCAATATTAGCAAACATTAATGTACTCTGGGACCGCCCGAGCCTCGCTCGTGGAGGCCAGCACTTTAAGAAAGACAAAACTACAACATCGAGTTCAAAATTCATCGACTAAAAACCATCGATGTTTTAGACTGGAGAAGTTAACATTAAATTCATGTGCATTAAAATTGAATTTGACAGTATTCATGTTTGTCAATTCGCGAAATAAGGGTTCGAGAAGCAGTGGCAGACCATACACACACAGCATATTTGTTGACCACATCTCAATGTGCGAAATGAATATGAAGAGAGAGGAAATACAAGGGAATGGAAGTCATCTCGGCCAACAGAGTTTGGTTGGTAAAGGTAGTGCAAACGTTCGTTCCTTCGGTACCAACACATGAGTAAAAGTGTTACCATCAGTTATTATTTCATATTTTAACTTTTACTGTGTTGAGATCATGGAAATTTTTCATTCAGAAACAAAACAACGGAAAAGAAAAAACATCAATCACAAAATATCGATGTTAAAAAAATGTGTTAATAAATGGATGTTTAAAACATTGATGTCGCATTCCTGGTTCAAATTAACACTCGCCTACCACTTGCATTGCGGCGTCCGCAGAACAAGACGTGTGTGCCAATGAGTGTTCAATAATGAAGGAAAGAAAATCAATAAATTGAATTCATTTACAGAGTCCGGGGAGTACACGTCAAAAATTCGTAAACAAGCGCTGAATACAATTGTAAGCATATTTTATCTAATAAATTACTTGAATAGGCGATAAGATGGCCGAGATAGCTAAGTCAGTAGTGCCGTAGCGGTCTCGGTCCAGAAGAGATCGCGGGTTCCAGTCCCTTTTGGGATATGGAGGTATTTGTGTTTGTATGTGAGTGTGTGAGCCACCATCTTCATCAGTTCAACTTCCATATACAAAGGGATAACAACCATGTGGGATAAAAATCGGATCCAGCTAAATGCTGACCCCCTGATAAAAAAATGGCAGATATCACCGAGATTATGTTTCTGAACCCCAGTAAATGCAGATTGCATGCACGCGTTGTCCAAGTAGGCCTATTCGCGAGCAAAAAAAACTACTTGAATATTCTGAATGGCTGAGTGTATAAGTAGCAACAATATATAATATATATATATATATATATATAATATAATATTATATATATGAATTACTTTTTTGTCAACTCACGATAAGCTTTGAAAGATGAAACTATTGCTTAAGGCTATGAAAGATTCTAATAATACACACGTAAGCGATAAAATAGTCAAGCCATACTTGAAAACATAATAAAAAAAATTCTAGAACCCATCTCTACACACTCTCGTTGATATGCAAATATAAAACGCAATAGCACTTTAGTCAGAACCGAATATGATTCATTGATTTCGCTTCTAGGTTTCCCTTCAGCTCTTTGGTAGTCATTTCTGCGGAGGCTCCATCATCAGCACTCAGTGGGTCCTAACGGCCGCACATTGCTTCTTCTTGTGAGTATTTTCTCAAACGACCAGACAATTGTTTTTTGGTCGAATCTTATAGAAAACAATTTATTGTGCAGCGCAATTCCTGGATACACAGTGCGTGCTGGAAGCAGTTTCTGGAACTCTTCAGGCATTGTCTATCCTGTGGCTGAAATTGCCATCCATAAGAACTTCAGCTACAATAGCACTGACTACGACATTGCTGCTGTTCGCGTAAGTCATATGCATTCCGAAAAATTATTTTACATGGACTTGATATTACATATTGACAGTTAATTGCAACTATTAAAAAATAAAAGTAGAATTCACGTAAACACTAAAATAATTATACTAACAATATCAAATAGTTCTATAACTACAATACAGTATTATAGTAATAAAATGTAATAATACAATGAGTCAATTATGTGCTGTTAGAAATTAGGTGAACCGTGACCTAGGTGAACCGGTATCCCTCTTAAACCGTTTTCGCATCTCCATGCACTGTTACTGGAGACAACCGCACTAAACCTCTTTGAATTATCCTTCATTGTTACTGCTTTTCACAATCTACAACACTTAAACTCTTTACCACATTTTCAAAAAATCAATATACGCAACAAAGAGTCATGAATCACAGTAAATATAATTTTCAGGACCAAAATGGTGGAAAGGGTTTAAAAATTTTTTTGCAACGTTTCCATTCCGTTAACTTTCTATTTGTGAAGAAAATTCCAAAATCCGCCCTGTGTAGTCTAATTGGATACCTTACCTAAAATTCCCCTACTAAAGAATATCCTTGATAACTGATGTTTGTAACAAATGTAATGATTACGGTAGAATAGTCAGAAAACGAAAGAAATGAAATGAAGAATTCTCAAAAGTAATATATGTTATAAATGTACTTGTTGAAAAAGCATAGTGTATTTACCCATCAACTACAGAAATGAATGGAATACGCAGTATTGTTTAAAAATAGAAGGTGATTTATTTTCTTAGTACATTTTTCATGTTGTGTAGCTTTAAAAAATTGATAATTGAGTACACACAAACATCGGATTATAAATATTTTACTAACCAAAAGAATCGAAAAATTCTCAGCGATGTAAATAACTTCATAGTATTACAATTGGCTTAACAATTAGTTTCGCTTGTATGCCGTCAATAGGTGTTAATATTAGTCAGCGCGATTCGTGCATTTCAGATCAACGGCACCTTCAAATTCGACCCCAAAGTGCAGCCCATTCATCTGGGCCACCCACCCGCCCGCCCCTGGCGCTAATGCTGTCGTCAGCGGTTGGGGCTTAACCTCCGTAAGTAGAACTCTCTTTTCGCCCATTTGTTCCTCCCGACATCACGAAAGGGCAATGAGTTGACGTATTACGTTTAGTTGCAGGCGAACAGCACTCTTTCCACCCAACTGCAGAACGTATCCGTGCCCATCATATCCAACGCCTTGTGCAGTTGGTTGTACCGCCACCGGGGTAATAATTCGGTCACACCCCGTATGCTGTGCGCTGGGGAGCTTGCCGGCGGCCACAACGTCTGCAAGGGAGACTCCGGTGGCCCTCTGGTCAGCGGACGAGAGCAAGTTGGCGTCGTGTCCTGGGGCGAAGGGTGCGCTGATGCCAACAGCCCCGCCGTCTTCACCAACGTTGCCGCCCTGCGCTCCTGGATCAAAAAAGTCACGGGCGTCTAAGACACCCATTTTTCTTGAAAATATGAGTTTGTAGCTCTACGTACTGTTTTTTAAACAAACTCAATAAAATTGTTTTAAAAGAACCCCATCATAGCTCTTCACTTTTTATTCCCAATTTTTATTTCTGATTTCTCTTCATATCATTTTGCAGTTAGGAATGGAAATATTTTGGCTCTTATTCCTTTTTACCCATAACATGTACATTTGTAGCTGTAAGTCGGTGCCAGATTTCAAACTTCTAAATCAGAGTTGAATTCTGAGATATACTGTATCTCGAGAATTATTTTGGTATATAGGAATACTGACTTTATTGACATTAAATCCGGAGTGGTAACTTGATCAGATTGTATTTATCAACAGCCATTATGGGAGCTATGTTCTGCGTTAATGAAAGTAAAATGTAAATGTCAGTATACAAATTTCAGGTCCTGGTGATGATAGAGACTGAAACGGAACTCATATTTCGAACGTTCCGCATCAGAATTAATAATTATAAACAGTCATTGCAAGGGATAAACAATATTACGGAAAAAGAGAATTAAATATTTCATCAGAATATTTCCAGAAAGAATATGACAACCAATTATGGTTACGTTTTTTTAGCATGTATGGTACGAAGGAGAAAGGAGAAAGATGACGGTCAGCCGGCTAATATGTCCCATAACAAAATTGATTATAAAAGATCATAAACAAACGAACTAGAAAGGTTTCGTTTTAGATTTTGGAAGTCTTGCTAGACAGTACGAGTTTAGACTTCGGCATAGATGGATTGGAGGTTACTTATTATGATCGAAGTTTTCTCAAAAATGAATCCAAAATTTATATTTAAATTTCTTGTAAGTGTAGAATCAAATACAGTTAAAGAGATGACATTGATAAACACGGAAAGGCGGAATTTTCGCTGTTAACTCTGAATTCTCAAAATTTACAAAAGTTTGCATTTTTTAAACTTTTCTTCCTACAACAACAATTTTGAAAATATCCATTTTTCTTCAAAAACTTTTGTTCTCACAGTTGGTTCCTTAATTAAAGTCATATTCATTGTTTTTAAAATATTAGTATTTTGTGACAATTTTGAGTGAAAGATAGGCAAAACGAAATTCAAAAATTATGCCTCAAAACATTTTTTCTTCAATTATTTTGTGTTAATGCACTGTATAAGATGGCATAAATGTCATTTTCATCTATACTTTTATTTATCAAAAATTATACAAATGTAACTTTTTAAAATTCTCTCGTAATTGTCGTTAAAATTTACATTATACTAGATGTATTTCATTGTTTATTGTGTTTGTCAGCACATAACCTTCGAAGTATCTCTAATGATGGTTCTGCAAAAATCCATAGTTTTTTAGAAAAAGGGAACTAAAAATAATAATTTTTTGATAACATTGAAACAAATTTTCTTCTCAAAAACTGAAAAATTTCGTCTCGGAAGTCTCCATATTAGAAAAGATTTCAAATCTCTACGATATTCTGACAGCTTGATTTCAACACAGAAATTTAGGGCTACAAAAACAAACAATAATACTGAAAAATGTAGATTTTTTAAAAATTGAACAAAGAATAAAAAATATATTTTACAAATATGAAAAGTGAACCGTCGCATTAATTGAGTAGTTCTCTAAATATTTTACCTTATAACATTTCGTCAAATTTAATTAATATTAACCAAAACGTGAACATTTCTTTATTCACTCGTTTAAGCTGTGGAAGATGAATTACGTTGAAATTGGTTTCCATTTCAATAATGTAGGCCTCCAAAGTGATTCAAGGGATATGACATACCGGTCCTAAGGAAACTAAACAAACTGGTAAGCCACTTCGTTTTCTTATTGTAATCTGTTCTAAAAAAGGTTAGTTCTTCGAATGTGATCATGTACCATGTTTTGAATAAAACTAGAGTTTTCGCTTACTAATAAGTAATTTATTCTTGAAATAAAAGTAATTTATAATTTTTGATATATTATGACACATTCAGTTTTTCAAAGATCGATAAGTTTAGGCAATTTTTTAACTTGAAGTAAAGGCCATTTATTAGTAATAATTATCAATTTATTCAATAGTTTAGATTTTTCATTCTCGTATATTTGTACCTACTATTTGAGAAAATCATAGAGAAAAAACAAGATATATTTAACAAGAAATGTAATGTTAGAAAATGTTGTTCAAGCATAGGAGTATGGTTTAGACACTCGGAAACTACTCGACCGATATTGCCGAAATTTCAAACTTATTTCTAATTTGTATCGGGAGTATTTAAAGAGTGGGTTGAGTTAAATCGGACATATGAAGATGTGGGCTCTACTTGGTTGAGGTGCAATCTATGGGTATATTTGTGAACTACACACCTCTCTTCGTCTCATAATAACTTCGAAGCGAACTAGAAAGCAAGAAGTCTGAATCAAATGCTGTGCACAACATTATTCGATTTTTTTACTTTCAACGTGTAGTCATATTAAACAAAATTATAATGTATCTATTTTCGGGCAACATCTCCTTTAAGGCTAAAGAGTATAGATCAAATTAACACAAAAAGCCGAATGTGTGGAAACTACCTGGAAAGACAAATGATTTCTGATGCAAATGTAATTATTTTGAACGTTGAAATTACATATTTTGTTATTATTTCTATTATTTACTCGTGTTTTAGATTTTTATAATCGTCTGTAATACACATAGATAGTTTTTTAATAAAATATATAAGAAAAACAGGCAAATTGTAGTTAACAGGAGTCACTAATTTTTACATTGTAAAATGGTTTGACCCTTTAAACATTCTTACACATCATCGAGAATAAAAAATAAAATGCGTTTTTTGAAGAAAGATTTGTCTTCGACGCTGATTTAACACTAATCAAACGAATTTATCAATTAAAATACTTTCCAAATCACCATTTTCTGGGCAAAAATGTACTCGCTTAGAGTTCAAGATTACAAACGCGAGATTTATATCATTCTAGTGGATGAGAATCTGAAAAAGTACGAGACCAAATGCAAAGTTACACACTTTAAATACGCCAGGTAAATGAGACGGTAGATGAGATTCATTACTACACTAACAGTACAGCTATATCACATTAATCCAGCTAGCCGTTACTAGTCATCAAGCAGTAGGCAACTGCTAGATGGGGAATTATCCCCCATACCTGGATAAAGAGGTAACAATCACATGCCAATGCATGACGGAATGCAACTATGTCTGTCGCACCGACACAAAAGCTACCCTAATCGATTTCGTTGCAAATTTCACACTTTGTTCTTATTAGTTTTGGGAGTGTTTTAAGAGTGGTTTGAATTAAATCGGATATTTGAATTGTTGATAATGATTTATGCGCTTATAATTACTTAAGCGACCCTGAGCATATCTACGCAGCTCGCCGCCCAGTCAAGTATTAAGCCCGTCTGTCGCTGCATGCAAGTATTCTGCCCCTCCCCTTGGAAAATTTCGGCCGGAATATTATTATTTGAACGTTATCTCTAACAAGTAAATCAAATCTCACAGCCAACAGACATTTTCGCACGAACGCACGCTTAATTTGAATAACAACATTTTAACAATAGGACATTTGACAACCATATCCAATATAGGTGTTGTGGTGTGATATCTTTGGCATTTTTCATAAATAATTTAAACGTTGTCATTGCCAACAATATTATTTAATGCAATAGCAGCTTTCGATGGCTTAGCCATCATCATCAGTTGTCTGCTTGATGGAAGCCAGGTAGTAGGTAGTAGGTAGTAGTTTAGGTAGTAGGTAGTCGTTTTTGTGGCTTCATCCAGCAGACAACTGATGATGATGGCTAAGCCTGCCCAAAGCTGCTATTGCATTAAATAATATTGTTGGCAATGACAACAAACCATATCCAAACCTGGACATGGTACAAAACTATTCTCGCGAGAAAGTATTTCATTTATTAGAATTTAACATAATTAGAATTTATTAGAGTGAAACGGAAACGTGATTAACAATCGCGTGACAAGTAGCATGGGATGTGAAATACACTACAATAGCGAAGCATCAAGGAGTCCATTAGTGTATAGCACATAAATGGAATATGCATATGTCTGACTCATATAGAAGCAAAAACTTCTCGACCGATTTCGCTGAAAATTTCACACTTTGTTCTTATTACCACCAGGAGTATTTAAAAAGCGGTTTGTATTAAATGGGACATTTGGGGCCGTTGTTGATGACTCGCGTTTAAGATGCTCGCTCAGTCTATTGAACAGAAGCGCTAGGCAACCCGCCGCACGGCAAAGTATGAAGAGCCTGTAGCTGCATTTACTTCCCTTGTGATTGTGAAATATCGGGCGGAAATTTAACACTCGATATTATTTGAACCTGGTCTCAGGTACGTAAATCAAATTATGTCCAAGACAAGCGAACGCATGCCCCAACTTGAGGGGGACTGTTTTAATTAAAGGATATTTCTCAACCATGTCCAACCCACGACATAGAATTAACTCAAACACAAAAGAAAGTCTTTCATTTATTAGAATGTTTGCAAAGCCTAACGTAATGTGATTAATAATCATGTGACCAGTAGCATGTGGCCATTAGCGAGGATGCTGCAAGAGCAAAATATTGGCGGATCCGCTAGTATAAAATAAATATTTAAAAGAGGGCACACGTTAGTTTATTTCGAAGTACCAAACAATTTTATTTAAATCAATTTACTTTGTAAAATACAATTTCTGTATGTTTTGGTACGACTTTTTATAAATGCTATATTTTATTATAAAGTGTTCTCATAAACGTAAGATTAATTATTGTGTTTTGATTGAGAGGCTTTTTTGTAGTCGTTTAAGATCGCATCAACATCTAGGTCATTAGCTACTACTATGGCATTTAACGGAACGGAAACTGTGAATATGACATGATATGGTGATGATAGGGGGTGAAAGGACGAACACAAATACAACCATGCCCGAGGCGGGACTCGAACCCGCGGTCCTTCGGTCCTAGAGCCCTACAGTACTACTACCTTAACAATATCGCATTGAGAAGTTTGATACAATAAATGGAGACATTTTGTGGTTTAGTACGGTTTTCATA